GTGTGCTCCGATCAGATATGTCCCTCTCCCGGGGCTGCAGATTCAGTGCAGTCCTTTGAAATAAATTCTTCTAGGGGGAGGGGCAGGTGTACACATAGTAGTTGGGATTGGGGCCGACCCCCCCAATGATTGCTTTTTATTGAAGCATACAGATCACATGTGAGCAGCTTGATGGATTATCTCATATAATCACCTGTGGGGGGAGGTCAGATGCACAGGCATTTCCCCCCTGAAGGCAATCAGTTGCCAGACTGCTGTCTCATCCCTCCACAGGGCTGGGCCTGCTCCCTGCCTCTGGGGACAATGGACAGGCTCCTGTAGGAGGAGTTTGCACCCTCCTGATAATGGTTCCTATGGAGACCCAAAGACCAACCCCTAGACCACCCACTCATTGCTGTGTAACCTATAGTGCAGCTCCTCCCTGTGACATATGTCTCTACCTGTAATTAGTGGGCTGGCATGCCCCCCAAAAGGTATATAGGCGTGAGTCAGCAATATAGAGCTCTTGGACCGGGACCTCTCTGGCTCTGAGCTCCTTGCTGCTCACTCCCTGGTCACTCCCCTCTCCCTTGTTCCCTTACCCTCTTTCCCTTCCCCCTCTCTCCATGTGGACCACCAAGCTGGGCTAAGGTGAGCAATGCTACACTGTAATATGACTGACTGTATTATTGTAATATCTCTCATGCTCTTGATGACTTTAATATAATACTTATATATCTCAACCGTACAATTGTACTTACTGAACCCGTGGGTAGTAATATTAGTATCAGCAGGTGGAGGCTGGCCCCTCACCCCCCAGTGCCACCTTTTAATACTACAATCACCCTCCAGATCAAGAAAATAAACTCAGCCATCAGCTCAGGACTCCATATGCCTCCTCCTTTTCTTCCCACTGAGTAGTAAGTCCTGTTCCAGTTTCCATCCAGCAAGTCATTTTGTTTAGTGCCCAGCCTATGAGGCAAACGCATTTATATCGAAAATCCTTCCCATCTGCGTTTGGTCCTCTGGAGGAGGCCTGGTGGTGTGGTCGGTCATGTGCTGGGCTGTTCACTGCAAGATCAGTGACTGGAGCCCACCAGTGGAGCTGCTCCTGTAAAGGTCTGCAGCCTTGGGTACCCACAGGAACGGTTCTGGTCTGTCCTAAAGGGACATTATGTGCCAGGATGAACTTGATGGCAGTGAGTTGTTTTGCTTGAGATTTTGAATGAGCTAAGTAAGCATCGTTATACTTTTGTTTTTTTTTAACGGGGAAGAAACTTTTTAATCATATGGCACATGAAACGTCCACAGAATGCAATGTTTAGTATTTCTAAATAAAGCTTTATTGAAACCCAGCCCTGCTCATTGCTTTCTCTGTATTTTGTCATGGCTACATTTGCACTGTGACAGTAGAGTTGAGTCATTGTGACTTAAACCATCTGGCTCTGTACAGAGGTTGTTTGCCGATCCATACAGGGGACTGTAAATTCCATGAAAGTGGGGTATGTGTGTCTCCTCTTATTCACTCTAGTCTCCCCAGAACTCTGGACAGTGCCTGGCATGTAATGGATGCTTTTAAAAAGTTTGTCTTAATGGTGAGGTCACTGGTTGTCCCTTCCCAATGGGAAGAGGGCATGGGGAGTCAGCATCAGATACCCCAGAAACCAGGCGGGGCTCTCCACCTGGTGTTGGAGACGGGCACACTGGTCAGAATCCCTCTCAGACTTCTTGTTAGCCCTATGCCCCTGAGAAATGGAGGCTCTCTGAGCCTTATTGTCTTCTTAACATAGGAGGACAAAAAGTACCAACTTGTAAAGATGAAAATGAGGTGGATGGTGTCGGTAAAAACCCCTGCCACTACTGCAGAGTAAATGTGAGCTCATCACTGTCATTTTTTTGGGGGGTCATTTTTATTTTCACTGGTCATCGCCCTCTATCAGACCTTAGACCTCCCTGAAACCCTAGAAAGTCCCCAAGAACCTTGTCTCCTTGGTGGGCTGCTCGAGCTCTGTGTGTGCCCACCCCCACCCTCAGGATCCCTGAAAACCAAGCCTCGAAGCAATCAAGTGACTTGGTCCCAGGTACCTGTGGTACCACCAAGCCTGGTCTGGGGCCTCCAGCTGCTGCCCACTCCCCATCAGGCCCTGATCAATAGCCATGAGTCATCGGTGAAGTATCTGGATGTTTTTGATGAGAGCCAGGCCTGAGGCACTGGGGCCCTTCTGACAGTGCATTTGTCATCGGGAGAATTAGCAGCTTGATGAATTGCGACTCAAAAGAGCAGCGCCCTCATGGCGCTGAGCAAGAGGCTGCCAGGCCCTCCTGTTCCAACAGGGCTACTTGGATCCCAACTCGGCTCCAGCAGCCAGTCTCCCCACAGGAAACAGATGGCGGCTCAAAGGGGGCAGCTGAAGAGAGTTAAATGAGGGGACATTTTTGGAAGTGTGAGCAGGGTCCGGGGAAGGCAGGAAGGGAGGATGCAGCACCCTGGGCTAGCAACAGCTGGGGGCCTGACCCACCAGGCCCCATAGGAGCAAAGGAGGAAGCAAGTGAGAGCTCGTGTGTGTGTGTGTGTGTGTGTGTGTGTGTGCGCGCGCGCGCGCGCACGCGCGCAGAAGGTATGGTCCCAACAGCCACCTAAGGCCACACCGGAGGTTGAGGCTCCAGAAGGACAGGACTTAGAGAGTCCCTCTGCCTCCCACTCAACTCCACCCACCCGTCCCCCGGACTCCCATTCGCTGGCATTTATCTTCTCCACCTTCATGGTCAGCATCTGCCTGCCCTCCATCCAAAGACTTGACCGAAAAGCAAGGCAATTTGCTGCTGAGAACATGACTTGCATATTTTAATCCAAAGGTTCTCAGCGGGGTGGGGGGTGGGAGGCAGTTTTGTTCCCAGCCCCGCCCCGGGGACCTTTGGCCACGTCTGGAGACATTTTTAGTGGTGATGTAGGTACTAGGCGTCTAGTGGGGAGAGGCCAGGGGTGCTGCCGAACATACACAGGATGCCAGCCGGGCCAAGGGGCCCGTTTGGAGAACCGCTCTGGCCTCCTCCGCCACCGGCTCTCAGCTTCCAGAAGGACCCTCCACTTCCTTGCATGCCCTCAGCCCAGCCTCCCAGTCCCCTCTGGGCTGAATCTCAATGGTGCTCCTTAGTGCCTGGCTTCTCTGGGCCACATGCTGCTGCAGACCACCCCTGCCCAGCCAAGCCAACCCTCGGGGTCAAGCCCTCCTCCTTGTCCCTCACCCTCTTCCTGCATCCTCTCTTCTCTAAGGCCACTGCCCTCCAGACCCTGACCCCTCCCGCTCATGGTTTGTTCTCTCCGGTCATCAGTTCTTCCAAACAGGATGGAACCCGGCCCCGTGGGAGTGGGGGGGAGGGGGGGCAGTGTCAGACTGAACAACTCCCTGTGGGCCTGGGGAAAAGCTCCTAGGGAGACTGGGCCTCACAGGGCACCAGAAGAGGAGTGGTCAGCGGCACGTGGGGGCTCTCTGGGCCCAGGGCTGACCCTCCTCTGTCAGTGCCCCCTGCATGGTGGGCACTTTACACACACACACCACCCCCCACACCCCTCCCGGCTCTGCCCCAGCAATAGGCACAGATGCAGCTCTTTGGCCCTGAGATAAAGTTGGCTGCGGTGCAGCCTGGTCGGAATGCCTTTTTCCCAGGCAACTAGAAACCCAGACCAGCCAGCCCGAACCTGGCCCAGCCCTGGAGCAGCAGGAGGGGTGGGGGCGGGGCAGGGACAGCATGGCCTGCCCCACCCTCACTGCAGTCCCACCAGCTGGGTGATGGGCGGGGCGTGCACCATGAGCTCCTCGTAGCGACTGAGGAAGAGCCAGAAGCGAGCCCGGTACGAGTCCTGGTTGTACGGCAGCTGCTTCTCTCGCAGGAATCGGGAGAGGACAGGTTTCACCTGATGGGAGACGGACGGACGGACGGGAGAGGGCGCTGAGCGGGGCTGCTGCTGACTCAGCCCACGCCCGGCTGCACCGGCAGGCCAGCCTCCCTCAGGCTGTTGCAGGATTCCGGCCAGGCCTCCTCCGGGCCCCCAAGCCCTGTGCCAACCGTCCTAGGCATAGGGGGTGGGGAGGGGAGGCAGGCAGCTCCCTGGTACCAAGCACACCCCCGGTACTTCTCTTCAGACCGCCCCAAAACTGTCCAGAGAAACTGGCTCCCGCCCGCCTCGCAGACGGGAAAGCTGAGGCTTGGGACTCACCCAGGTGGCTCGCATAGGGGAGCCGCGCACTGCTAGGAGCTCTGCAGCCCTTCACCGGCGCCCTCTGACCACGCCCGCGGGGGTAGTGGGAGCTCCGGTGAACCCCGGGGCCTACCCGTCTCCCCGCGCGGGGCCCCTCCTTTACCTTCAGGCACATGTTGTCCGAGAGCCGGGGGAAGAAGTGGTGCTCCACGTGGCAGCTGATGATGGAGTGGCCGAAGGCCCAGTCCAGCACAGGCAGCCGGGGCAGGTTCAGCACGCCCAGGCTCATCATGTGCACGCGCGAGGGCTTCTTGTCCAGGGAGAACATGGGCAGCCCGATGTGCTGGGAGACACAGGCATGGCCTGGAGCCGGGCCGAGCAGCCCTGACCACGCCCCTGGCCCACGAGGCCCCACCCCCGCCGAGGGTCCCGCCCAGCCCTCCCCGGCAGCAAGATAGGTAGGGTGAGTGAGTGGGTAATGTGTGTGTGTGAGTGGGTGACGAGTGTGTGTGATGCGTGTGTGTGAATGAATGTATGTGAGTGTGTGAGTGAGAGTGAATGTGAGTGAAAGTGAGTGTGTGAGTGTGAATGAATGCGAGTGAGTGGGTGATGAGTGAGTGAGTGGCAGTGTGTGAGGCTGGGACCTTGGCCCATCTCTGGGCCTCCCTCACCCTGTGTGTGTGTAATGAAGGCCTTTCCCGGCGCCCCTCGGATCCTGGGGTACACTAGTTCCACTCCCACATCACTACGACCGTGCCTCCCTCGGCGGCTTTCTCAGCAACAGGTCTCTAGGCCTTTCTTCTGAGGTACCTCTGGGTAGACCTAGACTGCCAACCTGCCAGTTAACAACAGCAAATGCACTGCCACCCAGTCCATGCTGACTCATAGTGACCCTATAGGACAGGGCAGAACTGCCCCCCCCCTGTGGTTTCTGAGCCTGTACCTCTTTACAGGAGTAGACAGCCTTGTCGTTCTCCCACTGAGAGGCTGGTGGTTTTGAACTGCTGACCTTATGGTAGGTATGCAGCTCAGTAGAGAACTCACTACACCTCCAGGGCTCTGCGAGTGTGTGAACCATTTTCACCACCAGGGGCGCCCCACGAGGCGATCCCATAGAGACAGTCTATTAGAGGAGGGGGAGGGGAGGGGTGGTTTCTGCTGGGGAGGTAGGAAGTTTCTGTGTGGGGTGATGAAAAAAGATTTGGAAATAAATCATAGCGATGGCTTACAACATTGTAACTGTCATTCATGCCACTCAATGGTACACCTGAGATCATTCACGTGGCAACGTCAATGTGATGTGTGTTTTACCAATATGTAAGTACAATCTTACTTATCATTCAAAGAAAAATGCAGTCGTGATACACGTTACCAAAAAATTTTTTTAACTTAAAAAATTAAAAACAAACCAGGCCCCATGGAATTGATTCCAACTCATAGCAAGTCTTTAGGACAGGGTAGAACTGTCCCTGTGGGTTTCTGGGACTTTTAATTCTTTATGGGAGTAGAAATGCTCATCTTTTTCCCATGGAGTGGCTGGTGGTTTCGAACTGCTGACCTTGCAGTAAGCAGCCTCATGAGTAACCACTACACCACCAGGGCTCCTTCCATACAGAAGACCCAAGTTCAATTCTTGGTCACTGCACCTCGTGCTCAGCTACCACCTGTCTGTCAGTGGAGGCTTCCATGTGGTGGTACTGAACAGAAAGTCAGTGGAGCTCCTGACTGAGGCAGGGAAGAAAGGCCTGGCCATCTACTCTCATAAGTCAGTCAGTGGAGCCCTATGGGGTACAAGGGTCTGATGTGGAAACCAGACGTGGAGGTGGTATAGGGTCAGGTAGTGTGTGCACCATTGTGCATAGGGTCCCCGGGAGTCAGGAGGTCCCTGCTCAAGTTATGCTCCATGCGTGAGGGGCTGCCCACGTAGAAGATAAGCAAATTCCTTACCAGAGACCAGATTTCTCCCTACTGACCCATAGAAGGCAGAGTGAGTGTGAGTGTGAGTGTTTGTGAGCTTGTGCGTGTGTTAGTGTGAATGCAAGTGTGAAAATGTGTGTGACTGTGTGTGTGTATGAGTGCACATGTGGTAATGCACCCTCACATGGCCTCTATCCCTGAAAACCATGAGTTTTCAGCACCCTGGAGAGCACCCAGTTTGTCCACCTCTCCAGAGCTCCCAGGCAGGAGGCCTCACCTGGAAGATATTGACGTGGAGGTACGGGTGGGCCAGGAGGGATCTGGTGACAAACATGCAGGCCAGGGCCGAGCTGGGGGTCCTAAAGCCTGACACATTCAGCAGCAGCCAGTAGTGAGAATACAGACCCAGAGAGATCAAGCTCAGCGTCCGCAGAGCTGTCCCGAAGGCCACCTCCCTCATCCGCTCTGCAGAGGGGCAGGACACAGAAGCCCAGGGTTACTGGTGGTCACCAGGCCTGGGGCAGGGGCTGGGGCAGGGGTGGCAGTAGCGGGATTGGGGAGAGGTCTGGGTTTCTGTTTGAAGCCATTAAAAGTTGATGCAATGTGATGGGTGGCATCCATGTCTTTGAGCAGTCACCATGGCAGCTGCTTGGTGTTTGCATGTTACCACCAAGAAAAGCAATGCAGTTAGAGCACCCAGTCTGAGCCCAGTGTGAGCTGGGCCCCTGGGAGCTGGGGCCTAGGTGTGCCTGGTGAACCCATGTGATACACAGAGAACTGTCACCCAGTGGAGGGAACACCAAGCAGCTGGTGCCCGTGGGGGCTGGGTTGGAACCCCTTTTCCCCTATGACCTCATTTGTACTTCTACATCTCCTTGAGGAGCCGGTAGGGAAGCTGAGGTCCAGGCAGGAGGCATCACCTGCCCGTGGTCACCACCAGTCAGTAGGTGTCTGAGTCAGACTTAGCCTGGGGCTTGGTGTCCAGAGCTTGTTCCACCTCCTCAAGCTGCCTCAGAAAGTCTCTGTCCAGTCTGAACTGGGGGCTACCAGGCTCCTAAAAGCGGGGTGCCCAGGAATCCAGGGAAGAAGGGAAGGGAGCCTCCCCCCACGCCGCCCCCCCCACCCCAGTGGCACTCACCCAGAGCCACCAGCGGAGTGAGGACGGGGATCAGGAAAGGAGCGAGGAACATGTAGATGTAGCGGTTGAGGAAGGGCAGCCTCCAGGTGCTGGAGTCCCCCAGGCCGATGACATTGGTGTAGCCGTGGTGCATCTTGACGTGGCCCAGCTTGGCGTGCTCTGCTGTGAAGGATGTGCAGACCTGGTGGGGGAGGGGGTGGGATGGGGTCAGCCCAGCCCAGCAAGGCAGACTCTGCCTGACTCCTGTGCCAGGCAGCTTGGGTCACCTCTCAGGAATCTGTGACCGTGGAGCCATGGCAGTCAGTCAAACCCTGTGGTCTGCTGGACTTTGCGGAAGATCGAGGGCTGCCCCGGGCTCCCTGCACTGCTGGCAGCAAGCTCCCAGCTCCAAGTTCTGGGGAACATCTTCTCAAGGCCACTGGGCATTCTGAGCCCATAGCAGGGCGGGAGGGGCGACGGATGGGAACTAAGGGAGGCTCACGGGACAGTTGGCAAGGGGTCACCCGGAGGGGGGTGCCAGGCATGAGACTAAGAGTTAACTTCTCTCTAGAGGTGGGTGACTCTTCTTGGAATGCAAAGGAGGCCCGACAGTGTTTCTTATGCAGATGTATGCAAGTGATCATGCAGATGAAAACCTCCTGTCCTATTTTATCCAGTCCAGAGGATTTTTAAATGTCTGAGTGCAGCTCAGAAGGAGGTGAAGGGCGTCCCACTTTGGCGTTTTACGGAGCCCTGGTGGCACTGTGGGGTAAGTGCTAACTGCGAGTCGGCAGTTCAAATCTGCTAGCTGCTAGTCTGCTCCTGTACAGATTTGCAATCTCAAAAACCACCGTAGGGAGCAGTTCCACCCCATTCTATCAGGCCCTGAGAGGTGGGTAGGCGGATGGAGGTGGGTTTGGAGGTTATGAACAAACATCTCAAAGATGGCAGAGGGAGCCTTCCCCGAGTGCCTACCGAGTGCCAGGCTCAGCGCTTCCCACTTTAAGGAGACTTGCCAAGCTGGGGACCCGGGGTGGATCATTGAAGGGCCCTAGGTAGCACAAACAGCTCACACAGGAACCCCATGGCAGAAAATCAGCAGTTTGAAACCACCGGCCACTCTGTGGGAAAAAGATGAGGCTCGCTACTCCCGTCCGTAAAGAGACCCCCCGGGAGCAGTTCTACCCTGAGCTCCGGGGTTGTCAGGGACCCACATCGCACTCAGTGGCCATGAGCTTGCTTCTGCATGGCTAACCTAAGGGCTGGCAGGTAGAACCCACTCCGTGTGCTGAGGAAGAAAGGCCTGGCGACCTGCTTCCTCAAAGGTCTCAGCCCAGAAGACCCGCAGATCCACGAGAGGCTGCCGTGACAATGCAGTGGGGCTCTGGGAGTGGGGCAGGCATGGTATTCCAAGTTTCCAGAAGGGAGACTAAGCTCCGATGAGAGCATGTGACTGAGCCGGGCCACCCGGCTCGTCAGCACCAAGGCCAGGACTGGATCCCAGGCCCTACTTCTGTCCCTAAGGTGCTGAGTTGAGCCAATGGGACACAGACCCCGGCAGCAGGGAGGGACCCAGGAGGAGAAGGAGAAGGAGACACTCTCTCTGGAAAGGGCGGCAGCGCAGCCCGAAGGAGCCCTGGAACCGTGGTTATCAAACGGCCCCAGGAGGAGGTGCCCAATAAGCCCACGTGTCCAGTCCTGGAGGCCGGGCGGTGCAGGGAAATTCTCATCCAGCACCCGTGTTCCTGTGGTGGCTGAGGACACCCTTTGGCCTCTGTAGGTGCAACGCTGCCCACAGCTGTAAGCTGGCAGAGGGACGGAGCACAGGGGAGACTGCAGAGTGCCCGTCCCGTACAGGGCATGGCCTCCGGCCCTGCACAACCTGAGGTCAGCCTGCAGCTCTGGAGCAGGTGCCCATTGGACCCAGGGTGCCCAGACCACCAGGCTGGTTTGAAAGAGTCCCAGCAGCCTTGGCAACAGGCGCCAGTGGTCTGTAGGGACTGTTCCCAGAGTGCACTTGGTGCCCTTGCCCACTCCTGTCTCGTGCCCACCTCAGAAGGGACTCCTCCAGGGCCCAGCTGCAAGCCAGCAGGAGGTCTTGTGGTTGTCCTTGACTGATCACTCTCCTCACCCGTCCCCTACCCCTGCCCACCTGTCTCCTCTCTGGCTCCCACCTCTCAGCTGCCTGCGATTTTGACTCTCTCGATCTCTCCACAGTGAAGTACAATAAAATATTAGCGGGCACGTCAGAGACCGTCAATTCCATCACCCCCAGAAGGGCAGTGGGCAGCTGTGGGTGAGCTGGGGAGGAGACTTGTCACTGAAGATGCGTTGAACTTGAACCCCTATACCTGTATAGCACTATTCCAAACGTTACATGGCATTCGCTTTGAGGCCACCAACTGAGGTGGCGACCTTTGACTGTGGGACTCAATGGCGGCGGGTTTGGTTTGGGGTTTTGGAGCGTCATCCCCAATAGTAGACCTCTTTGTAAAAAGACTGTTTTGTGCGGCACGGCTGAGTTGGCCCTCTCGACAAATTGCAAACATAAAAACCACTCGTAGTTGAACTGTTGCAGAACCAACACGCTGTGGGGTTTGGGTGGGAGGTCTCGGAGGTGCCTCCAGAGATGATGGTCCCACTGAACCAGCGGAGGAGGAGGACCCCTAAGGACCCTGATGAGACTGGAGGCTCTTGACTCTGTTTCCACCACCACACGGGGGCAGAGGGAAGGCGATGGCATCCCTAGTGTGGAGCCCGGCGGGTGCCGGCTCCTGCCTACCCGACTGTGACTCTGCCCTCCCGGCACAGAGCAGGCCCAGTCCAGAAGGAGGGTCTGAGATGAGATACATTATCAAGCCGAGGAGCCAGCAGGGCCGATATTCCATCTCAATCCGGAAGCTTCTTGATGGAGAAAGAGGAACAGGGAGAGCCCCAACGCTCTCTCCTCTCGGGAGTAAATCCTTCTTAAATTCAACCAACTACTTCTTGATTAGCGACTAGCTTGCTATCCAACATTTCGCATTTCTGACAACAGGAAAAAGTCAACTACGGGACCAGTTTGCTCATTCTCGATGTGTGTCCGGCAGTACTGAATGCCAAGGGGCGAGGCAGGAGTAACCAAGGCTGACCGTGACCTTTAGGGCTGTGTGCTGGGCCATGGTTCTAAGCAGACTGGCACTTGTGGCATGATGTGATCATCCTCCGTTTTCGCACAACACCAATTTTCCCCAAAAGGATTTGGCCTTTGGTATCTAAGTGAGGAGTGGGTGTACTTATGTCAAGGTGGCCCTCCTCACCCAATCCTGGCCCCAACTCTGCCTTACAGGGAGACCCTCTGAGTGTGGGGCCAACAATCCCACTAGCATCACGAAGGGCCAGCGGTGGAGGAAGGGACAGATGTTCTCAAAGCATCAGGCCGGGGCTTACCAGGGAGAATAGAACGTTCTCCTGCAGCCCGGAGATGGGCCTTCACCAACAAACCACGGCCACTGGAAAAGGTGAGGAAGAAGCGGGGCAGTCTACGACCATGGGGAGGAAACCCCGGGGGATGGTCATGACCATGGTTCCACCGTTTGTCGTGGACGCAAACGTACGAGTCAAAGTGCATTTTAGTGCACAGGTTCACCACCCACAGAATAAAGTATGTCTTAAAGGGCTGGGGTCTTCCAAGAACTCAGTCCAGGTGGGGAGGCAGGCATGATTTTGGATACTTTAGGAGAGATACAAGAGCCCCTTGGGGTGGACGCGTCCCGCTCCATCTTCCTGTCTCCCTCCCAGACCCAAAGAGTCAGAGAGGTGAGGTCCCCTTCCCCTGGCTGGCAGCTAGATGCCTAGGACGACCAGTGCTGTCACTAGGGGGTTGCAGCGTTTGCCAGCCCCCCCCCCCCAGGAGCCTGGGGGTGGAGACAAGACTATCCTGTGATGAGGCTGGTGTCTCCTGAGGTTCACCATTAGGGGATGAGCTGGAAATCCAACCAGAGAGGAGAAGAGGGGTGGGCCGGCAAGGATGCAGGAGAGCCCCAGGCAGGGAGCTGAGGCTTTGCACAGTACAGAGAACAAGGTGGCCGAGCCAACACACACAACTCAGTAGAGCTTTGCCCAACTATGTCTACCTCTCAGTTAACAAAAACAGGAACAAACCACTAGCAAAGGCAGGAACCAACCGCCACGGCTAACCATTGCCCTGGCACCTCCGGCATGTTTCATTGGGCGCGAAGAGCACCCATGGGCCACCGGGTGGGTGCGCCGACTCCATGGTGACCCACAATAGCAACAGCAACCCTGACTTCATGAGGGAGCGGATGGGATCGCTCCCATTTCGTAGATGAGGAAAGTAGCACTTAAGATACGACTGTCCTGCCCAAGGTCAGGCAGCCAAGGGGCTGGGCTGGGCCGGGCCCTTCACAGCACCTCACCCCACTTGACCACATCTGACTCCTTGCCAGGACACCTCAAGTCCCACTGAGGCCAGCCAGGAGACAGACACTCCATCCCCTGCCCACTCCTGGGACCTGGACCGGCCCCACGCCCTGTGGGGCAGGCACGGAGCCTCCCATGGAGGTTACCAGAGTGTGTGGGTGATGATGTTCTTGTCTTCCACCGATTGCGGCACATCCACTGATTGACAGACACAACAGCAAGCCCGAGAACCAGGTCTGCCCATGCCACACCATTAATCCAGGCACCCAGGGGCTCACAGACCTCTGGGATCTGACCCCTCCAGCAGCTGGCACTTCCCTGGAAGACAGACTAGCAAAAGACACTCCATTTTTGTCAGCTGCTAAGTAACTTGCTCGTTCCTCCCTCCCGTCTCAGAAAGCTGACTGCTGGTTGACCGGCCCGTTCTCCCTCCCCTGATGGGAACGTCTCTGCCGGTGATTCATTTGAGAATGACTCCCATGTCCCCAGGTTCTGGCCACTACAATTAGCTTCGCTTACCCTTCACTATGTCGTTTGTTCTGATTCAGTATTGTTCCCTTGGGTGTTGTCATCGGAACAGTGTAGTTACTCTTGTATGGGCACCAGGATGTTCTAGACCACTTTGGTCTTGATTCTGTTATGATAAGGAACGTCCCTTGTAATGCACGCTTGCTCTTCCTGAAGTGACCAGAATGTTATAGTCGATGCTGTGCCCGGTAAGCCTCCCTAACCCTGAAGAATAGTAACATAGATGTTGCTTTCTGCTTCTGTTCACGCTCG